CCCCAAGGACGGCACCACTGACCACCCTGGCCATGTGGGCGACCTGCAGTCCCCACAGACCTCAGGGTGGCTCAGACCCGAGCTGGAGTCTGGCCCCGCACTCCCGCTCTGCGATCTTAGACGGCCACTTGGTCTTCTGGGCAGCATTTCCCTGGCATTCCCAACCCCAGAAGGCTCACCCCTCTGTGCTGTTCCCTTCCGGGTAAGTCCCTTCATCTCTCCGTGTGTCGGTTTTCTCCTCTGAAAAACGAGGACACACCAGCACCTCCTTCATGGGGCTGTGGTGAGGATTAAGTGAGGTTCTCCCATGTAAAGCTCCTACTGATGGAGCACAGTTGTCTCCTGCCCACCCGGATGCTACGTTCCGTCTACCACCGCAGCCTCTGGGAAGGGGGAGCAGGGAGCTCAAGGTGGGGTCTGCCCCTCCCTCCTGACCTCAGGCATGTGCACACACACAGACACACACAGAGATACACACGTGTACACACAGACACACGTGCACACACAGAGACACACGTACACACAAAGACACACATGCACACACAGAGACACACACATGCACACACAGACACACATGCACACACAGAGACACACAGAGATACACACAGACACACACACATACACACAGACACACATGTACACACAGAGACACACAGACACACAGACACACATGCACACAGAGACACACACATACACACAGACACACATGCACACAGAGACACACACATACACACACAGACACACATGCACACACAGAGACACACACATACACACAGACACACATGTACACACAGAGACACACACATACAAGGACACGCATGTGCACACAGAGACACACATACACACAAGGACACGCATGTGCACACAGAGACACACACATACAAAGACACACATGCACACACAGAGACACACAGAGATACACATGTGTACACACAGACACACATGCACACAGAGAGACACACATACACACACAGACACACATACACACAGAGACACACATGCACACACAGACACACACACATACACACAGAGACACACACATACAAAGACACACGTGCACACAGAGACACACATGCGCACACAGAGACACACAGGCAGACACACAGACACACATGCACACACAGAGACACACATACACACAGACACACACAGATACACACGTGTACACACAGACACACATGCACACACAAAGACACACATGCACACACGAGACACACACATACACACAAAGACACGCATGTACACACAGAGACACACATGCGCACACAGAGACACACAGGCAGACACACATGCAGATGCACACAGAAATACACACACAACACACAAGAAGACACAAGCACGCACGCACACACAGCTGCAGACACACACGTGCACAGAGGAGCCTGGAGATGAAGACCCCACCACTCACTTCCCAAATGGAAATAATGGCTTCGAGGTCTATATTTCACGGCTTTCAGAAAACATTAAAAACATGATTTGCTATGAGCCTCCATTGAGCCCCTTAAATTTTTGTGCTCATGAAAAATGCTTCATGGATTGTTGCCCAGATACTGGAATTTCCTATTTGCTGAGGCCCAGCCTTGTGACCCCAGCAGGAGTGGGTGAGGACAAGCCCCCGCTTGCCCTGACCCCCTGCTCCCTCCTCCAGCTGCTCCGGCATTCTGCACCAGGCCTTGTGACGCAGAGAGCCCACAGCCCACAGGGACACACAGACAGGTCCACAGCAAACACAGTTAAACATGAAAAGAGATCCTGAGGGTGTAGACGCCGAAGTTGCGGGTACCCAGGAGGACAGAGAGACAGGGAAGCCCCCCAGATCCAAGGACTCAACTCCTTCTACCGGTTCCACCAGCTCCTTCCCCGTAAGAGCCACGGCTGAGACCTGGGCAATCCTGCTGCCAGCCAGTTGTGCCGGGCACCAGGAAACCAGCGTCCCTGCAGCCTGACACCCCGCCCCACATCTCGAGAAATCACAGGGGTACATGCCCCGGCCATGCTAGGGACTCAGAGCCACCAGAGCTTCCTCTGCCCGGCTTCTGGGATCGCGTCCCTGAAAACCAAGGTTGACGCCAAACCTTCATCTCTCATATCTGCTTAAAACAGCCGGGCCTGGAGGTACTTCTGGAAACAGCACTTTCCAGAAGGGCAAAGGGGTTGGATACGAGATGAGGCACTGGGGCCAGGAGCTGGGCTTGACCAGGACAGGCACGCTTGCTTCTGCTCCTGTGTCATCTGAAGTCCCTACCAGGGCTGAGGAGGCTCGACCCGGACCACAGACGTGGTCCACACCCCAGTCACACTGTGAGGCTGACCCAAGTCACACTCTGAACCCTGACCCTGATCACACACAGAGCCCAACCCTGGTCCCACCCTGAGCCCTGACCCTGGTCACACTCTGAGGCTGATCCTGGTCCCACTCTGAGCCCTGACCCTGGTCCCGCTCTGAGCCTTGACCCTGGTCACACTCTGAGCCCTGACCCTGGTCACATATAGATCCCTGACCCCGGTCACACTCTGAGTCTTGACCCTGGTCACACACAGAGCCCTGAGCCTGGTCCTGCTCTGAGCCCTGACCCTGGTCACACTCTGAGCCCTGACCCTGATCACACACAGAGCCCTGACCCAGGTCACACTCTGAGCCCTGACCCTGGTCCTGGTCTGAGCCTTGACCCTGGTCACACTCTGAGCCCTGACCCTGGTCACATACAGAGCCCTGACCGCAGTCCCACACAGAGCCCTGACCCTGGTCCTGCTCTGAGCCCTGACCCTGGTCCTAGACAAGCCTTCATGCTGCTGTAAGTTGAGTGCAGGGGCTCACAGGTGAGCGAGGCTGGCTGGGCTAGGCAGGGGGTCCTTCCACTTTGGAGACCTGCAGGTCCTGACCTGCCCCGCCCACACACCCCCAACCCCCAGCTCCCATAGGGACCTGGCAGAGATGGTCCTGCACACCTCGGCAGCTGGGAAGAACTGAGCATAGGGGAGTCGCAGCCCCGGGAGTCGGCAGGGGTCCTGGGGTGGCCTGGACAGGGGGGGCGGGGGTGATGTGGGGCCGCACCCCCTCCCTGGGAGACCCCTGGAGGGCAGGGCCTTGCCCGACCCACACCCAGAAATGGGCATGTGAGGCTGCCGGTGTCAGGGAGCCCCTCCCTCAGGGACTGTGTTTTCAGCAGAAGTAATAGCCCCCTGCATTTGAATAGAGCCTTTTCCTTCCTCAAAGCACTGTTTATATTTAGCCATTATCTGCCTTTGTCCTCAGAGCAACTCGGCAGCAAGAGAGAGGCAGACGGCAGCCCCTCAACTCTGCAGAAGCCACGCCCAGAGCAGGTGGGCTCCAGGTCCCTCGGGCCCCTGCCGCCTGGCCTGAGCGTCACAGAGGGCGCCTGAGCGTGACAGGCTGGGGTCTCTCCCAGCTTGGTGATGTGCCAGAGACGAGGTGTCCCTACAGGGATGGGCTCAGGGCTCCCTTGGTCCCACAGGGCCCGGGGACACCCACACCCACAGACCCCAGCCCAGATGTCCTGGGGCCTGTCTCCCAGCTTGTCTACCAGGATCTGAGCTGCCCTAGCCCCAGGCCCTCCCCACTGTTCGTCTGTGAGCTGCTAGGAGCTGGAGACCCCTCCTGCCCTCTGAGCCCAAGGGCCACAAAGGGGCTACTGGCCGGCCATGTGGCCTGGGTCTCAGCCTCGCCTTCCGTCTCCCCAGGGGACGGGCACGGCTGCGGGCAGGCTGCTCCAGCCAGGGAGCTCACTGGAGGTGGATCAGCTGTTCCCGCGGGGTCTGTGCGCCTGGCCTGAGAACACATCCTTGGGTTCCCTCTCACAGTGGGAGGGGTTCAGGGGTTCAGGGTGCAGCGCTGCTTGGCCCTGGGGTAGGGTCACAGCTGGGTGTGCAGGGGAGGGTGGGGCAGGAGGGCTGGGCAGCCCTCAGAGCAAAGGAGAGCGGTGGGGAAAGCCAAAGGAGATGAGAGGTGGCTGGAGCGGTCCAGAGGCCCGGGTGGAGGGCAGCCCCTCCTGCTGGCCCCTCAGCGCCAGGTACTATCCCTGCCCAGGGCCCAGGAGCGCAGGCAGCCCCGTCATCGTGGGCCCTCACCTCCGGCCCACGACGGAGCCCAGGCTGGGACATGGCAGTGTCCTGCGTGTGACTGTGGGCCTTAGTCTCCCCTGCTGGATGGTGCTGACGATGACTGTCCCACCATTGAGAGCAGAATGACCCAAGTAGCAGGCATGTTGCCCCCAAGGGTGACACCCGGCGCTCTATCTATGCCCTGGGCTGCCGTCACAGATGACCACAGATGGGGTGGGGTGTTCTCCCAGCTCTGGAGTCCAGGACCCAAAACAAGGGCCAGCAGGGCCTTAGGCACCTCTGAAGCTCCGGGGAGGGTCTTCTGCCTGACTCTGCTCACCACTGTCCTAGGGGACTGGTCAGTCATGACCTTCCGGAAGTCAGTGCTTACACAAGGGTTTTCAGGAGAGTCTGCCCTGGGCTGTGAGCTCCAGGCACGTGGGCTGCCCTCAGCCTTGTTCACCACTGGTCAGCAGGGCCCAGTTCGTGGCTGACACATCAGAGGATGAACGGATGTATAAGTGGACGGGTGGGTGGATCAGGGAGAAGGCAATGGCAGCCCACTCCAGTACTCTTGCCTGGAAAATCCCATGGACGGAGGAGCCTGGTAGGCTGCAGTCCATGGGGTCGTGAAGAGTCAGACACGACTGAGTGACTTCACTTTCACTTTTCACTTTCAGGCATTGGAGAAGGAAATGGCAACCCACTCCAGTGTTCTTGCCTGGAGAATCCCAGGGACGGGGGAGCCTGGTGGGCTGCCATCTATGTGGTCGCACAGAGTCGGACGCGACTGAAGCGACTTAGCAGCAGCAGCAGGGTGGATCAGAGATGGGGAGATGAGTGGACGGATAAGTGGTGGGTGGTGGATGGGTAAATGAATGGATGGGGGTGGTACAAGGAGAACAGATGGTTGGCATGGGGGCAGGGATGGCACCTACCCAGGCGGCGTCACTTTCGGACAGAGGTGGCAACAATGAGGACGATGACCAGCAGGACAGTGACACCAGCCGCCAGGAGGAAGCACTTGACCTTGCGTCTCCGGAGCTGGAAAGAGAGAGAGAGGCTGTTGTCATGTGTCGAGTTCCTGGCCTCCCATTCTGGGGGACAGTGGGCCTGTGACTGGAGTGGGGTGGGCCCACCTGAGGCCAAGGCCCACACAGACCTTGTCCCTTGCAGGGGGCTCTACCCTGAGATGGCACATAGTCATCCAAGAGCTGCTCTGGGCTGGCCCTGGACCCAGGCCCACAGGAAAGGAGGCAGGAGAGCCGGTGAGATGCCCGCAACTCCAGAGGCGGCCAGGCCTATGTGTGGCTCCTGGTTTGCCCTCCTCCTTAGCCACGTCCCTTCCTGGGACCTTGGATTCTTCTGCAAGTACAAGACGATGCCATGGACTCCAGGAGACACTTGGAGGAATCAATAGATGACACATGGCAAGTACACAGCATGGAGTCTGACCAACACTGGTCGGGAAGCCCTCTGGAGACACGTTTCTTATTCCTGTATGTTGTTGTGGTCACTACAAATTTACAACTTGCCGGCCCACCATCAAAGGCCTCAGGGCAGGAAGACACACAGATCAGTGCCAGAGAACTCGTCAGGGAGGGTTCTAACTCTCCAGGTCCTGAATGGAGGGGGTGTGACTCCCCAGGCATGCCAGCCGGTGGGAGGTAAGGGACCAAGGTGGAACCTGGGGCAAAGTGAGAGCTTAGAATAGCCTGGGAGGTCACCAAGCAGTTCAAGAGGGTTAGTGACAAGGCCTCTAACTTCACAAGAGTTAGTGATTTAGGAAGTAAATAGGAGGATGGGGAGGAGAAGGAAGACCGATCCCTGGAAGGACAAAGGCCTCAAGCAGAAGGGGAATCGGAGAGGGTGGGGGCAAGACCAGGAGGGGAGACCTCAGAACCTGGCTATGATGGGACACTCAAGAAAAGGGAAAGAGGTCAAGGATGAGTCCCCCGACAGCTCATCTGAGCCATCAGATAGCAGATGTTGGGGCTGGCCCTGCATTCATCCAATCATTATTGCGCTCCTTCCATTCTTCCATCACTCATCCATTCATTCCACTGATCTACCTACCTGCCAGTCCACACACCCATCCCTCCATCTGTTCATCCACTCATCCATCCACCCACCTATCCACCAACGTGATCACACACACACACACACACACACACCCATCCCTCCATCTACTCATCCACTCATCCATCCACCCACGTATCCACCCACCCACCAACATGATCACACACACACCAATCTATCCACCTTTCTGTCCATCCACTCTCTCAAGGTGGCTCTGGGCTCTAGAGTGGACATTACAGTGGAACGTTGACTCAGCCATGGGGAAGGGAAGAACCTGGCAGGGACAGGGTAGGCGGGGTCGCTGGAGTAGGCGGGACTTAACTCTGGTTCAGGGTGGTGTCTTAGATCTGCTGGGTGACGGAAGGATAAACTACGCCCCTCTTCACTGCCTCAGTGCCACTCCAGCCTGATGACCAGCCATAATCAGAACAGCCCTGCCTCCCAGGCCTGCAGACAAGTACTGTCACGCCGTGTCCTGGGCCAAGACTTGGCTCAGAGAGGTTAAGTGACCTGCCCCGGCCTCACAGATGGTGTGGTGCTCATCTGAGGTCAGACCTCTCTGTCCCGCTGCCCAGCTATTGTCACAGGTCACACTGCTGCCCTGACATGCCAGCTGTGTGGGGGAGGGGCTGGAGTGAATCAGACGAAGCCTTCAGGGAGCCCACAGCTGGGGGTGGAGATGTCATAAACCCACAGCCCTTCTGGCAGGGAGGGGCTCCGAGGGAAACGGGCTCCAAGCCAGAGACCCTGCAGGACCCTGGACAGCGCCCACGGTCCGTGTGCGGCAGGACAGCCCCCTTTCAGAAACGTTGTGTGTGCCCAGCGTCCCCCTGGGGCTGCATGGACTCAGCGCCTCCCTGACACTGACCGGCAGGTCCTGTCGACGCATCTGCAGACAGAGAGCCGCCAGCTCACGAGCTGCAGTCAGGATTCCAACCCAGCGCCCGTGGCAAGCCTGCATATATGCTCCACGCCCCCCACAGAAGGGCCGATGAGCCCTGCAAGCTCTCAGCACCCCTTGCACACCCAGGCCCCCACACGAGGACTGATGGGGACCATCTGCGGGAATGTGGACACCCGTGAGAAACACAGCTGCCAGGGTCGGGCAGGGCTGGCTTCCACAACCTGCCTGTGTGTGGCTGGGGCACACTGCCCGCCTCCCAGGCTCCAGACGGTCACAGCATGTCACGGTCACAGCTTTCTCATCCGTGTGGCCCAGGCAGAGCCCAGCTAGGACCGCCTGGCCTCATGCTCACAGCTGGCAGGAGGGGTGTCTGTGCCCGGCCAGCCCAGATCAGCCTTCCTGGACCCTCAGGCTGACCCCGAGCTGGACAGCAGCTGAGCGCCTGCGTGGGTTCCATCTATGCCAGGCCCGTGCCTCCCTGGTGCCCCTTTGTGCACTCTCCACACCTCACCACCAGGTCAAACAGAGCAGGGGAAGTGAAGCAGCGGGGCTGGGAGCCGCGGCAGCAGCCCAGGCACCTGGCTGGAGGGAGAGTGGCCCCAAGAGCAGCAGGACAGGTCACCGGGGGGAACAGGGGTGGCAGGCAGCATCCCCGGGCCCTGCCAGCCCTGCCAGCCTCCAGTAGGCCCTCCCCTTCTTGTCCCTCCTCTCCCTGCAGCGAACCATGCTGGGTCTCCCATCTGACTTCAAGGGGAAGAGGCGGGCAGGTGATGACAGGCGGGCCGGGGGCCGCCAGATGCTCAGGTGAGGACAGATGGAGGAGCAGAGGCAGGCTTTGATGAGATGCACTGTGGTCCCGGCCCCTGGGACCCCCTCCCATGGCACAAGGCAGAGCCCCGCCACCCCCCAGCCTCTGCTCAGCCCCCGGCACCTGCAGCCTCACCCGCAGAGATCCGCAGGGCTGGATCGCCGAGAGCTGCAGGGCTCAGCCCAGCCTGGCCCCAGCAGTGGGGTGGGGGCTGGCCCTGGGGAGGGGACAGAGGCCACACTGGGCTCCCCCAGGAGCAGCCAGTGAGATGAGAGCCCCTCCCGGAGCTCGGGGAGCAGGAAGCCACCCTGGACACCACCTTGACTGATGGGCTGACCTTTCTGGCTCCCAACGGAGGTGTCCTGACCACATCCATGACCTTCCAGTAAAGCGTGGAGGCAGCATGAGATTTCCTGTTAACACCACTGCATCCAACAAGGGAGACGGGCCTGGAAGGGCCCCTCGAGGTGCTAAGAACTGGCACACATTTTTTGCATGGAGCTAGAACCCTGGAGAAGGAAATGGCAACTCACTCCAGTACTCTTGCCTTGAAAATCCCATGGACGGAGGAGCCTGGTAGGCTACAGTCCATGGGGTAACAAAGAGTCAGACACGACTGAGCGACTTCACTTTCACTTTCAGAGCCATTTTTAAAGGCAGGAGGAGCCCAGGGACCCAGGTAGAGGCTGTGGGAAGGATAATAGGGGCCTAGGACCCCCGAAGCCCTACTTGCCAAGCTGGGGGGCACCCTCATCCACACCAAGGTCTCATGACCCCATACTGTGGGCACCACCCTGGCCCCCTGCTACGGGAACTCCAGGACACAAACCTGGGAGGCCCAGGGTTATAGGCTGAGCTGAGCTCCCGAGAGAGACACTGAACCCCACCCAGGACCTCAGAGCGCAGCCTGAACAGGAGACAGGCTTTCACGGAGGCCACTGGGTTAGAGCAGGGTCATCCGACCAGCTCCAGGGTAGAAGGACATGTGAACACACAGACAGCCGTCTGTAGCCCAAGAAGGAGGCCTGGAGCAGAGTCCCCCTCCGGCGGCAGAAGCAGCCGGCCATGCCAACATCTTGATCTCGCACTTCTGGTCTCCGGAGTCTTGAGACTGTAAATGTCCACTGTTTCCGCCGCCCATCTGTAGGGTCGGTAATGGCAGCCCACGTTGAACACAGTCCAGGCCCTGACCCGTCTCCTCCGCTGACCCCGGGGAGCAGCTGCACCCCAGGTGCCAGAGGCCTTCAGACAAAGAGCTTGTAGGTCCAGCAGCATCTTGGACCTCATCCAGGCCCACCCTGGGCACCTCACAAGAGCACCTTCAACCCGCTCACCGATGCCCTCGCTGCCCTGGGCACCCTTGGGCCCTGTTGCTGCCCCCCAGGAGCCGGGCCCAGGACATGGGGGTCAAAGGCCAGTGGGGCCACAGGCCCCTCAAGTCTATCATGTCCTACAGAGGAGGGGGTGGCCTCAACAAGGATGCTCATAGGGCTACAGACCCCTCCAGAGGTGGAGAACTCCACGCTGGGCACGTCCAGGCAGCCAGGACCAGAGGTCACTGTCTGGAGCAAGGGTGGTGGGCAGCCCAGAGCCCCTGCCCTTCGTCTGGGGCCTGTTCCCACGAGGCAGTCGCGAGGCCCCTGGGGAATGGGCTCCACACAGAGGCTCCCAAGACAGAGCAGCCCCTTCCTGGTGGCCGCCGCCTCAGTTCTCTTGGAGAGGTGACCACAAGCCTCGGGACAGCCCTGCAAGGGGCCCGAGCACACCCACTTCAGAGGTGCAAACACCGAGGCTTGCACAGTACAGCTCGCCCACGCCCGTCAGTAGTGGCTGGGACGAGCTGCCCAGGGGCCACACAGGAGGGAAAGAGCAGGAGGGCATGCCATGGGGACAGTACACAGGAAGCCGGTAGGGGGACCCCCTCCCCACCAGGAAGGGTCTCCCGCTGGCCCCTGCCTGCTCCCCACGCCCCGGGTGCCCCGGCTGTCAGTGTCAGCTGATTAATCACTCTTAAACGGCAGCCCCATGCTGAAGGAGTCTGACGGGGGCTGGCGGCGGGGAGCCAATTAACCTGAATTACGCTCTTGATTGGGGCCCAATTAGTGTCGGCTGCGTGGGGTCAGAAGCAGTCCCGGTGCAGTAATTGTTGAATTAGTCCCCTGGCTGGGGAGGCCTGCACCTCCCCGCCCCTGCCCAGGACACCAGCTGGCTTCCCGCAGCTTCAGTGAGGCTGCAGCTTCCCCTTACCCCGCC